AGAGGTAGCTGTGCGGCGGCAGCTCGCGCCGCGGCATCCATAACACAGGGGAGAAGGATTCAGGTCAGGGATTGAATCGCAGGTGGCGGCGCCGCCGCCACCACCTGCGTTGCTACTGCCGCCACCGCCGCCACCACGACGTGAGCGGGGCCGCCTGAAGCCGCTGTTGCTACTCCTCCCGCTGGCGCTACCTCTACTGCTAGCTGCGCTCATGTTACGGGATTCTTCGCCGCAGCTCCCGCCGCCGTCGCCAGCTGTAACGCCATCCCTTCGAGCCGCCGCCGCCGCCGCTACCGTTGACAATGCAAACGACGCGGACTTTAAGAACGACGCCGTACTGACAACGCCAGGGTGCTGTGGCAGGACCTGGCCTTCACTGCCGTCCACCTCCTCGACCTGCATTGCCTGTTTCCCCCGCTCCCGTGCGCGCTCCGGAACCTGCACCGGACGTTGTCGTACAGCCTCCAGCGTCGCAGAAGGTCTTAGCCAGGGACCATTCCCAGCTTGCAGGCCATCGCTTGCAGCCCCGCTGGGCCCCCCGTAGCCCTCCGCCGTAGCGTCCTTGATTCCAAGGCCGCCGCCGGCGCCGTCGCCGCCGCCGCGCTTGAGTGAGGGTACGGATTCAGCAGTAGCGGGGGCGACGGCGGCGGCGCAGTCGTCTTGCGGTGCCCCCTCCTCCTCCAGGGTTGGCTCCACCAGGGAGGAGGACGAGCCGCCGCCGCCGCGGCCGCCGCAGCCGCCAGCAGAGGCCGAGGGCGAGCGGGAGATGCCGGCGGTGGGGGATAGCTCGTCCTCCGTGTCGTACGCTGGAGACACGTAGCTGGAACGGACGCGAGGCTTGCGAGTACGGCGCCACGGAGTGAAGCCCTCAAATACGCTGGAAGGCCATTCACCAACGTCGCCGCCGCTGCCGCTGCCTCGCGATGGCGGGTGCGCCACAGGCAATCGCTGCGACGGCGGCGGCGTTGGCGGCGATGACGCTCCTGCCACCGCCGCCGCCGCCGCCGCCGCGTCAGTAGCTGGGGCACAGACCGCCGTAGTGGGGGCTTCACTAACAGCCGTTGACGAACTGCCAATCTGCGACAATAAAACGAAACGGCGACAAAAACCTCTAAACTACGATACTTTCCTGCCGAAAATTCATTCAGGCCGGCCAGCATGTCAGCATGAGGTTTTTTTCCCGCCAAGAGAAACTCACTTTTTTAAGTAATCCATCAGAGAATGACCAGGGGCTCTGTGATGAAGGCTCCGAAAATGCCTGAGAAGGCCGCCGGACGCTTCCCGCCGTGGGCAGCCGGCTTCCTACGGAGGAATCCGTCACGACGCTGACGCCGGCGCTGATATTAGCTGCTGCTTTGCAAATGGCAGGGCTAGCGGGATCGCTGGTGGGTCCATTTTTGGTTACTACGGCTGCTGCGGGTGCTGCCACGCCACATCCGAAGCAGCTTAGGAAGCGCGTACAAGTCTTGGGACTTCCCATCACCTACATAAGTATGGTAAAGGTTATAAGTCGTAGGTTAAATTGGTTCAGTTCGGCAGGGTGGGAGTTTTACGTTGTGCGGTGGAGAGCTGATCATGTGCGTCATGTCAGGGGAAATGCCGAGGACGCGAGCATCTTACTGGTTTCCCGCGAAGCCTGTATACGAGGATACGTGAGATATCACAATTGAATAGAAGCAAGAACTCTGCTACGCGCGAGCCGCTTGATAAGATTTACAAGGTAACAAATTTGCGTTTCAGCGATTGCTGCGCATTTCGTATCGGAAACGGTCAAGCGTTAAAGCTATGGATGGAAGTAAAGTTATACCTGAGGTATTTGCGTACAACCAGCTTCGGCAAACGCCCAACTCAAAGTTGAGTTGTGGGATGTTTGTTATGGTCTCGAGCGCCTGCAGTGGAAAGACGCAATGCTTAGCTGGGAAAATACATAAGGAGTGTAGCATGTATACACTTGTCAAGCTTCCTTCCGTATGCCAAACGGGCGAGGCATTTCGGGAGGAGGTGGTTGGTGAGAGTGCACGAATACCAGTAGAAGATGGGAGAAGCCCTTGGCTGAGCCAAGCACAATGGTCTGTCGATCTGTACCCGAAACACATCGAGATGCATAAGCAAGATGCAGCCACTGGCGCCAATTCAAAGCCCCTGAAACTCGCTAACCACCTTCGACCAACCTACCCAGGGAAACCCTCGAAGATAGGACCCGTTTTCTTGCCTTCAGAAGCAAGCCAGGCCAGAAATCGACATAATATCTGTTGCTAATGAGCGTAGGCCTCAAGCTTGCCCTCGCGTTTGCTTCCTCTGCCCTTCCTTGCCACTTCTTCCATTGTGATTGGTTTCACAGTTTAACATAACAAGTTGCATAGCAGCAGTGTAAGTGTTTATGATCTCTGGTTGCGGTTCCTTTGACTAAGTTTTGCTTGCTCAT